GCCGACGGCGCCGCGCCCCGGCACCGGCACCGCTGCCCAGCGACGACGCGGCGCCGGCCGCGCGGCTGCCCCACTCCACGTCCATCTCCAGCACCGGTCCCGCCGCCGCCGCCGCCCCGTCCTCCTCGGGCTCGAAGCCCGGGTTGTCCCGGCTCCAGGCCTGCCGCGAGCAGGCGGAGAGCGGCGGCGACGGCGGGCAGGAGCCGGCCCGCGCCGCCTCGCCCAGCCGCTCCAGCTCCAGCTGCTCCCGCCCGCGCCGGCAACCGCCGCCGCCCGCCATCGGCCTGCCGCCGCCGCCCCTTCCCCGCCCTCCGGCGGAAAGCCCGGGGTACGGAGGGAGATGTAGTCGCCCTGGCTCCCGGCGGGAGCGGCGGCCGGGACCTCCTTCCCGCCCTCCTCCTCCTGTACTCCTCCCACCCTTCCCTCCCCTCTCCAAGACTGGAAGCGCCCAGACGAGCCGTGCGGTGGGCAGACCCGGACCGCCCCTGCGGTAGCTGGGCAGGGGCTGGCGCCGGGGGTGGGTCCCGCTCGCCGCTCACTCTCGAGGAGAGCAGGAGGAGGTCCAACGAAGGGGTTTTACTCCTTAAATTTGGTGGGAGCAGCGATTTCACATCGTTTTAAGGAGAGGTATTAAAGCTACCCACGCCCGGCCCCGACCCGGCAAACAGTAACGCAGCCCGCAGGTACAGGGTTTTGTGGTTTTATTTAAGTCCCGTTACAGAGCAAGACACCGCCCGGCAGCGCAGAGAGCGGCGCGACCCTCGCCCCGTGTGTCCCGCAGCCTCTGCTGGTGGCCCAGGGGAGGCCACCGGGTCATGGACCGCCCCGAACCCGAGAAGTCACCACGCGAGCTACATTAGCGAACAGTGACCTGAAATGAAGCTACACCCCGCTGCCATTAGCCAGGGATTGAAAAAGAAGGGAAACGTTACTTTTGCCTCCCTTTTTAAAGGGTGACTTCGTTATTTTCTATGCTGTGGCGGTCTTGAGAATCCTCAGCACTCTCAAGTTTTTGGTTGCTGTTATCGTCAGAGACCTCAGCTGAAACGCGGACCTGGCTTTCCCTGCTTTCCACACTCGGGAGGCTGTCCCCTCTGACAGCAGACTTGCTATCGTCGCCTTCTGCCTCACGGCTGTCGAATTTCTGCCGGCTATCGTTTTCCATGCTCCGGTCAGGCTGATTGTTGTCCAGCTCGCTGCTATCCTGCCCGTGGCTCTTGTCAGACCATTCCACGCTGATGGCATGCTTCTCCAGGGAGCGACGGGAAGCAGAATCCTCCCGGGAGAACCCTGCTCGCTGGCTGTCTGCATCCAGGTCGCTCTCATCTTCCACAGTGGCATCATACATGACCTGTGTTAGAGAGCAAAACAAGAGCCAGTGTCACTCCTGGGAAATTATCTATCAACGAGTGCTACCCTACTGCACTAAAGCTGCTTAGGCTGAGGGGACACGCAAAGCTTGCATGATACATCTCTGCCTGGAAACACTAACTTTTATGGAGTTACATGAACCCTTCACATTATGAGAAACTAATGTTTGATCCTGTCCTCAGATTTCATGTGTGTGAGTACATCATTGCAGTATTGCATATCCTGCAGCAGCAGGCTACGCTCTTGCCTTGGCGCCATCAACACCCCCTGATTTGGGGTATCCAGAGAAGGGACAATAGATTCCTTCACTCATGCCTACTTTCCCCTCACCGATTCTTCTCAAAGCTGACTCCCATAAAACAACATGTCCATCTTCCAAGTTCACTACCTATTTCCAAAAACATGGGTACCACTGCTCAGTGCTGTTTACCTTTTTTGCAGCTTTGCGGAGTTTGATAGACTTCACCAGTGCAGCTTTTGCCTTCATCCTGTAGGCCACGCTGTCGCCTCTGCCGGCGTTGTCTCCCCGGGTGAAAGGGAATGGGGGGAATGGTACAGTTACTGGAATGTCTGTGGGAAAACCCGTGACAACCTCATCGGATTCATCTGTGTCATTGGAATCATTATCATCATCATCGTTGTCATTCACATCTTCGTGGCTTTTGCTTGACACATCAGGAAAGTGCTGGAAAACATTTATTATGGATCAGGCAAATGAGCACAGTTGTGAGATGTGCAGACTAGTATCTGTCCTGCTAGCCCAGGGCTTATGCAGTGTTGGGGAGCTATGTGCAGGCATTTCTCTGAATTCACCTCGCCCTGCCTAAGGAGGAGATGCTATTTAGGGAGAGATGCCACTGCAAGAACTGCACTTGAATGAGGAAAATGAGTGTTGCTACACACTGGCTGCCCTGCAGCACTCAACTGACATTGCGTCGTTCAAAACACTTACCGGTTCCACTGGGACATCCACGCTTTCTTCTGAAGAGTAAAGGGTCTGAAAGCAATATAAAACTCCCTATTAGTTTGAAAAGGCACGTACAGTAGAGCTGATCAGCATGTTGACTATTGTTTAAGCACCTAATCCTAACTTGTACATCTTGTCATGGAAAGATGCTCTGCTTTCTCTTCCAGCTAGCTGCCCATACCTGCTGAGGTGATGCCAGGTCAGTCTGTGGGTGCTGCTGACTCTCCCAAGACTGAGAATTCACACGATCGTGGTGATATCTGTGCAAGTGATGGCCCCTGGGGTCCTTCGGGAGAAAATAAAGGGGGGGAGATGGAGGTTAATCCACAAAGGATCAGGCAAAGCTGCCTGCATCACAACCTCTGTTTTCAGGCAGAGGTGGCATCTGCAATACATACTCCTTTTGCACGGGATGTGCCCTCAGCTATTCACTGCAGTAGGAAGAGGACTCAGAAACAAGCCATGATCCCAGATGAACATTATACCCAGACAATACAATATAGAAGATGTGCCTCTCCCATTGGCAGAGCCTGAGGAATTTCAGGTCAGTTTCTCCAGCTTGTTTTTGTTGAGTGGAATTCGGAGTTATATCTAACAATCATTGTTTCTGCTAATTCTCGGGTCCTTTTCCCAAGGGTGATTTATCTCCCTCATCATGAAGACTCTAAACTAAGTGCAGTAGCTGATTCTCAGAGCAAAGAATTGATTTTACATGGGTAGCAGCTGGCAGTGGAGTGTAAATCAAATAGCTATGTACAAAATTAATACAGTTCACTTACATCACTCCAAAAAATCATTGGAATTGGATTAAAGTGCTCTTCCAACACCAAATATTGTCATCTGATCCACACTAACAAACGTGGGCTGTAGTAGTTGTGCCATGCTATAGTCCTTTTCTCTTTTTAACTGACAACTAACACATTTTTTATTAAGACAAAAGGTTTTCCAGTGCTGGTCCAGAGATAGAACTAATGAAAGTCCTCAACCAGAACACCAGACACTGGAAAAAGTCTATGAAACTGGCTCCTAACAGCCAGGTGAGGACATGCCCTGCAAGCATCTACAATCATAAAACAAGTACCAGAAAATATGTATTAGAATAAACAAAAAAAAATCAAAAAGTATTTATTAAAAATAATTAATAGAAAGACAAAAGGAGCTTACATATTTTTCTTCGGAGCTGGCAGAAATGGCATGCTGCTTGGATTTACTAACCTTGAAGGGAGAAAAGAGAAAAGCATTTGTCAGTATTTCTCACTAAGATGCAGAGAAAATAATGCAAGTGATTGGTGATCCACATTTGTGATTTACTCACTGGCCATGCAGCGGTGATGCTGATAAGGCATAAACACAAAGCTGCCACCTTCATTGTGATGTTCTACCTAGAAAATATTTTGGAACAGTGAGTCAACAAGGTAAAGTACCACACAAATGCCATAGGCTTTTCCTTTTTCCCAGTGTACTTCACTGTGCTGAGAACAGCTCCCTGCTATGGATCCAACCTACACACACTAATTTTTTTCTTTTGTCCTCCATCACCACCGCACACCCAGCTGGTTTGTCATGACTTAGCTACTCAAAAGCTAAAATAATTTTTAGGAGGTTCTGAGAAGAGCTGAGCAGTGGTGAGAGTGGCCACATTGAGAAGGTGAACTGAATCCTGTCAGCTAATGACTTGCACAGACAAAGGAAAAGCTTTGTGATAGACAAAGTGTTACAAATATCAGCTTTGGTTTATCTTCATTCATTTAACGTATTTTTTTCAGAAGAGACAGCATAAAGCCAACTCAGCTTGGATTCTCTTGTCAGTTATTTTAAAACTAGTTTTCAGGGTTATTAACTTGAGTTTCCGAGTAAAGTCAGTTTATATGAACATAAACTGCTTTTATTGATAGACCTTTATTTCCTCCTCCAGAAGTTTGAACAAAATAACCTGTGTTTCCAAACAAGAGATAACATGAAATATCTGCTTACATTGCAGTTTTAGCAATTTAATAAATTACTAATTCCTGCTGAAATTAGGAGAGTGCTGAGCTGCAGTAAATTTTGATGCTTACAGACCAGTTCCCAGGATATGGAACATCCCTGAGAAATTAAACCAATTCACTGATGAACAAGAGTAATTTAAAACTTCGGTAAATCATAGCAGGAAAGAAAGGCTACTTAGGACATATTTAAAATGCATTAGTAAGGCTGGCCCTAAGACAGGACACTCTACTAGAGGTATTGCAATTTCAAGTTACACAGAAAGGACGAGTGTCCCATCCATTCAGGATTGTGCAGCACAAACTGTGAGCCTGCCAGAAAAAAACAAGGACACTGCCAGGCAGTGGTTACATGAGGGAGAAAGCTTTCTGTGTTCAAGCACCAGCTTTGAGTTTCCAGCACATAATTCAGTGGCAGAGTTTTCAATAACCTCCTCCTGACATCTATAAGCACGCAGGTTTAAAATTGTCATTATGTATAATACCCTGCATTGCTAAAGCAACCTTGCTCCCATAAAAGCACACCTTTTTCCACAGAGAAACATCAAATGTCCCTGCCCAGTGAAGCAATTTTCAAAGATCTCCTGCTCAATGTTTCCTTGACTAAAGCTGCAGACAGATTAGCACATGTCAGGTAGAAAAAGCAAAAAAATTACCTTTTCTGGTACTGGAGGAGTCAGCTGCAGCAAGAGCACTCGTAGTGATCTCAGCAGCAGCTCAAGTCAGTTGGCTCCCAGAAGCTCTGGCTTTTTCCCCTTGTCCCCTGACTGCCTGACATCTCTGACCTTCGGGAATTTAAACCCTGTCCCAAGCACAGCCACCAATCCCCATGTGGCGGAAAAAGATGAGGTCATGAGGCTCCTGGCCACCGTCCTGCCCACATTCTCCTACACTTCCTCTTTGGCTTTGTGGTTTTTGAAGCAAACAAAAACTACTCTATGGTTAAAACATTACTTATGGGCAAGATCATTAACCAGCAGGTCTGTTGAATGCGCAGCAGTTGGTATCGTGTAGGAGGGCTTCGGGGCACATCTGTCCTCCTTTTGTGTAAAGGCAGAGCCCAGCTTCCCAGAAACCTTTTGTGCCCTGCTCAGTAGGGAGTAGGAATATGTAATATGAGCAGGAAAAAAGAAATCTGAACATAAAATTAACCAAAAAGATGTTAATGCTTCCACAAAGTTGTAGATTTGCTCTCCAGGGCATACATGGTGCAATGGGAATTGCAAATATGGGGCAGAATATGGCCTTTTGCGTTTTTTTAGTCTGACCTGGGCAAAAAAAAGTTAATAATATTAGTTGTCTCAATAGGCATTCTACATCCAGAAACTTGTTTGTAAAGATATAGCAGAGCCAGTGATAGTCTAATTAAAAAAGATTTGATTTTGAGAAATTCTCACTTCTATTCATTTGTTTCCCTTCTTGCTCCTTTCTTAGACCATTTGGTCAACCAAAAAAAAAAAAAAACAAACAAAAAACAAACAACCAAAAAAAAAAAAAGGAGGGGGAAAGCAGCTATAGCTCCAGTTTGAGAAGTGCCATGATTAGCATTGGAAATCAAGGGATTGGTTTCATCATGGTATGAAATTCCATGTCTGCTATGGAGCAGGGCATTGGCCCTGCTGATGGGTGACATATGTTCTGGCAGTGCCTCGCTTGGACAGCCATAGCTTTGGGCAGACTGCATCAGCTGGGATGTGCTGTAAGGCTCTGAGATCCTCTTCCATTTGGTGTTTCCTTAAAATGGCAATGAGGTGTCATTCAAACACAAGGAAACATCCCAAATAGCCCTTTCAGAAGGCAGAATATTTATAACTGTTTCAAAGCAGTTATCTTTCTCCTCGTCTCTGATACCCAGCTAATGTTTGCTGTGTCCTTAGTCAAGCAGACAATAGACACGTTGTTGTACCAGCCCATGTTACCAGTTATCCTGTGCCTATTAACACCGTGGCATGTTTAGAAACATTGTGAGAAACATACCCAGGTTAGCTCAGCACCTGCCCATCACATGATTATACTTTTGAGCTGAGATCAGCAACAGCTGGAAGTTCAACTTAGTTTACTTAATAGAGTCTTCTAATATCCTAGAAGGAGTATTGGATAAAAAGATAGTATATGGTATATCATTAGTAGTTCTGCATGTAAGGATCCCCCTGAATGAGGACTATCCTATGCTAGCTATGTGACCATTATTATATACTAACTCAGGAAAGACTTTTCAACCAAAAGAAGTCTTCAGTAACTGGGATTTCAGCAGCATGATGTTCTGCAGGTTTAGCTAGCTTTACCATCCTCCATCATAGCTGGGGTTCAGTGCTCCTGGAAGCCAGTTAGTTTACTGAAGCTCTTGAATGCAGATACGAGACTCAAGCTGTAAGTGAGTGCTCTTTGGAAGTTTTGAGTTGAGCATAACATAGTAGCTGATACTATTACTTAGTTACCAGGACAGCTTTAGAAAGGCACTCCTGTTGGCTCCAAGGAACCCCAATTCAGCCCCTTAGGTAGCCAAGTACCTTTGATCCGAAACACCAGTCCATCAGTAACAAACTACTTCCATCTGACAGAGCAAGAAACTGAGACAGAGTGAAGCTTGGTGGCTCCACAGTTAAATGAACTGGGTGTGCTGGGTCCTGCTCTCCTGTCCACACCCTGGATCAAATTTTAAGCCTTAAAAATCTACTTTCCCTACAAACCATTCATCAAGAGATGCATAACTGAAAAACAACATATGCTGAAAGATCTAGAGCTGTTTTCAGGCCAAAACCAGCTCTTGCAATCTGCATAATGGCATATTACTGTCTATCAGACTTTATATTATGTCAGGACATGTAAACAACCTGTTCCACCAAGTTCAGCAGCAGTTATCAGTCGTGCTGATGGAGACATTAGAAACACAGTCTTCCTGCAGTTTGGTAAAGACCTTCCTGTACAAGTCAATTATCACTGTGGCTTTTCAAGGCAAATGTTTTGCAAGTACCTGGAACACTTGACTCCCAGCAGAGACTCTATGTGACCCCCAGGGAGCTGTTTCTGGCAAACAACTGATATTTCCAGTGTGCTGGGAGATGACAGTGTTTTTGAATATGCTGCCAAAGCTATATGGTTGATTTTGTAAGAACTAAGGAATAACATTGATGTTTTGCAGTAATTCAGAAGCAGGATGTGAAGCGACAGTTATTACTAAATGTCTTCATTTATGCAAGATTAGCCAGTACAGAGCTGTAGTAAATTTAGCACTTGTCTCATGCCCATCATTATGTGGTTTTTCATCCTGTAAATCATTTTGTCTAGCTGAGAAATCCTTTACCTTGGTAGGGGGTAATGCTTCATATCCTGTCAGAGTTAAGGAAAAAGCAGGGCAGAAAGCAGGGAGCTTTCACCATTTTCACTTCCCACATTAAAATACCTGATTCCAGAGGGAACGCTTGGCTGCTGGTGACACAGCAGAAGCAACTTGCTTGAATTTGTACAGGTGGGAGGGTACATGATTTCAGCTTTCAAGAGCCATCAGGGTCTGTGTGGAGCATGACTGTGACAGGCTGTAATTTGTTGCATGTAGGTGACATTTCCTACTTGTCTATCCTGTCAAACAAAGCTTTTGACCACAATTTCTTCCATCTTGGGCAGTGTTGGAAACATGTGGTTAGGCTGCTCTTTCATGTTGTCCAGAAGCGGTATCAGTGCCTCCCTGTGCAATCTCCAACACCTACCTAAGATCCTGAGCCAAGACATCAGCGCGATGCCCAGAGATATCTCTGGCTGGCATGGGAAATTCCAGCCTGCCTGCAGTGACTTGTAATGCTCAGTCTTTCGGCATAGCTGGCTTTTGTTTAGTTTTGTTTACCAAAGAACAAGTCTAGAGGTAGACCAGAGCAGCAGCATCTAGATGACAAAGACTAAGACTGGGATAGAGAGGTTAATTTCTTCAGTAGCATTAAGAATGTTATCAAGTACTGTTTTACAACTAGAATATCCCAAAGAAAAGCAGACATAGTAAACACGAGTTTCTGTGAAAGACAGATGAAAACTAAAACTTTCTTGCATTGCTACCATAAAATTCTTAGAAACTCAGCGTGTCAGCCAATAAAATATATCCCCCAAAGCCCTTACATTTTCCCAATAAAGACTTCAAAAGCGATGAAAAACTTACATTCAGCAGTTGGTAGACCTCAAAAAACCCCCTTCTGCCTCTTAAATAGACTACACAGACCACCACAGTGTTTGTGTCCAGACCCAGGAGAGTACTTGGTGTACAGAAGGGATATGGGTGTCAGATCTGTTTGATAAAGAAATCACAACAGCGATTTGCTCCTTACATGTGTGAGCAGGACACCCCAGTAACACATGCTTTGCAGCACAACTGTGTATCTTTTGCTTTGCACCACTTAGAGCAGTAAAAGGATTTATAGTACCTCAGTTTCCCAGAGCCAACCCTAGCAGTTCCTGGAGGAGTTGCAGAACTAGGCATGACACTGAGCTAGAGCTGCAGTAGGTGATTTATTGGGACAGAACAGAGGCTTTCTGGGAAACAACTCCACTGTAAGCTGACAGCATGTTAGAAAGTGCCGGTGTCTGACACACAGCAGAGTCTTTTGGTCTGTCCTTATCTCCCTCTCCGTAAAGAGAGCCCACTCACTTGTCTCTGATTTCTGAGACTAGTTGCTACCTGCTCACATTTTCAAATGCTGTTTAAGTAACAGCTTTGGAAAGTGAAAACAAAGTAATATTTGAGAAGCTGCCATACAGCTGTGGCCCACAAATCCTGGAGGCTGAACATCCCCAGATTCCAGCTTTCACAGAGGCAAGTGGCTGCTCCTGCTACGGCATAAAAACAGTTCAGCTGTCTGTAACTTGCTAAAATGGGGCCCTACTAATGTTTCCTCTCTTGACTGTTATAGTCAACTAGAAAAAACAATTTCTTTCCTGTTGAAATTGATGTGTTTTAATACAGAAGTCGGTGTAGCAGCAGGAATTAAACCAGCACAGAAACAGTAGGTTACTTTCAGGTCATCAGAGTGATGAGTGTGAAGAGCAAAACACCAGATATTTCAGTGCTGGGTTTGTGGCTGTGCTGCAGCTCTGAATTGACAGAAAAAGAATAACATTTGTTTCAACTGGAAAATAATAAACACAATAATAGTCTGAACTACTATTAGAAACAAAACCAGAGAAAGAATATATGGTGTACATCATGTTTTCATAACTGTGCCATTTTGTAATGTATGTAACTCTAGAAAAGCAATTTTTTGAGAACAGGAGGATGAGATTTTCCCATCTCAATGGGAGCTGAGCTCAATCTGTTGTCTCTGAAGCTGAACACTGCTGCAGAGATAATGCTCCAGAATGAAGGAAAGCACACAAGGTGTGTGTGCCTAAATCCTCTGTATGCTCGTAGGAAAGTTTGCCAGCTCAGGGCTCACAGTGTTAGTGCTGAGGGTAATTCGATGGTAGGAAACAGCTTTACAAAAGATTGCTTTTCAGACAAGCTTTGCAAAAACTTTGTGACAAATTGTTTCCCTCTTCCCTCTGCTCAGTTTTCTGTTTCCTATCCTACTGCAAAATTTTCTCCTCACACTGAGAAAGGACACTAATGGAAACATCTGAATATGCAGAATGGGTATGGAAAGAACAGCATTTTCTTGCTCTGCATTGTGAAACTGGTGGAAAGTCACAAGATTCCTGTTCTCCCTAGTGCAGGGAATTTTGGCAGGGCACCACAGGAATGATTTTGCACACCCCTCTGCTCGTATCTTCACTAAGCTCTTCTGGTAAAGCACAGAGTCACCCCTTCACTGCAAGAAACAGAGCAGATTACAGCACAGCGTGACAGAGAAGAGTCAGACAGGGAAGATGATGGGCCAAGTCCTCTGCAGTCACCTGTACACTGCTTCTGTGTAAAACTGAGATGAGCATGACAGAGTCCTAACTGTGTCCTGGGAATCCTTGTTACACAGCAGCCTTAATTTTGCATTCCACATATACCATGTTGAGTCCATATCATGTTTCCACAAACAGCCACACAAGGATCACAGCACGAGGAGCAGAGAGTCGAGAAAAGGTTGTTACCAATCCCAGAGACAAACCTTTCACAAGGCACACTTTCTGAGTGTCTCCTGGAAGAGGCCAGTGCAAAACAGATAATTTGGAGAGGTGCCGGGCATTACACAACACAGGATTCCTCCCTGCATATCTGTGGTTATCTGTGTACAAAGCATCTTTTCTGCAGCCTGCCCTGACTTCTACCTCCAGAAAGTCTTGGGAAGGTGAAGCGTAGGCTGTACAAGCAGTGCAGGACTGCTAGCATGGGTTGTGACCTGTCAACAAACCTGACCTCAGACACAGGCTTGGCTATGTACCAGAAACCTTTCAGATTTCACGTGGCTTCAGGTTTTGTTGTGAGCAGTTTTCTTAACTCTCAGTCTAAAGCCATTGTGGTCTGAGGTGAGACGGATGCAGAACTGAGTCAGTGTGAAAGCAAACACGTCCCAGGCACTGTGCACCAGGGTGTGGAGTCCCTGCTGGTAGAGTGGGAGGAAAAACCCATCTGGGGGCCTGATGAAGGGAAATTAAAGAGTTAGGGACTGGACTTGGGGAGGAAATAGTTTGGCCAAGAAGCTGATTTGATTTTGTGGGGAAACCAAAAATCAGCAGTCTAGGGTCAAGGCCTCTGCTCTCTCGACTGAGTCATGGGCAGATTCCTCACAGATTGCTCAAGCTCGGAGGTGATGAGGCTGTTTTCCCTCTAAGCCTATCCAAGCAGGAGCTCTGCAGGAACCATGCTTCATTGCAGCAATAATCATTTTGGCTCTGGCTTGGAAAGCCGGGACATCTCCTGCATGTCAGTATGCTTCATTTAATTAGCATTGGGGTAGCCACCTCTTGTACAACAAGCAACAAATGTGCCAATGGAACATCAGTCAGACCCAGAAATTTCTCCTTGTGTTTTGCATATTAAAATTGTTTAAACTTGAAGGGTTTATTTATGAAATGGGAAGTAATTTAACTGACACCTGACAGGTATTACCATCAGCAAGTCAAAGGGGATGTTTTCTTAAATGTATAATTTTTTAAAGTAAATAGGATAAATTGATATACTGAATAATTACATGGTGCATAATACAAGTGTCTGAGAAAAAGTAAAAAGGTTTCTTTTCATTAGAAAGGTATCTCCCCCTCCATGTTCAGTCGGTTTTCTTTTCTTTCTCGGCCTCCCTTTTAGCAGGACTGGCGTGCAAAAATATTTCATTTTGGACAGTACCAGTGTGCTATCTGCTGAATTGGCAGCTCATGTACAAAGGACAGGTGCCCTTAATCCCCAAATTTGTGATGTTCTGGACCAGCCAGTCTCTGACCCTGCTCAGCACCGAGGACCAGCAGCCCAGCAGCCTGTGATAAAAGGGAACTGCACAGATGCACGCTGAGCTTGGGCAGCCAGAAGGACAGACAGCCTGCTAGGTGCAGGAGCACAGCAGCATAAACACTTTGGCAAGTCCCTGCTATCCCTCCTTTGCTTACCAGCTCTCTTTGGAAGGGAGCTGCCCTTTTGGAAATACACAGTTGAGAGATAATCACATCCAGATTTAGGAAATAACATTTTGCACATAATTCATACTGGCTATCTAGACAGATTATTGGTTGAGCATGTAGCTATAAATTTGGCAGAATAAATGGCAAACTGTGGTTGGCATATGGATGCAAAGCAGGAAGCAAACTGCAGCTATACATTAACTACAGGAAAGGAAAGCCTAAGAAACTGGGTTAATCAGCAGGCTCTAAAGCAAACAGTAAGAAGGGGTAGCTGACAGGGCAACTAAGTCTTGAGCATATGCAAAATGAGGGCTCTTTGCATTAGCAAGAACATTACCAGTCAACAAATAACAAGCCAGCACTGCTGTTTTGCTCACTGAGTCTTGTTTATCACAAAGAAGTCAAGTGACTTCTCCTCACCCATGGAAAATGTGAATACAGAGGATGACAAGCAATTTTGGGAAGCAACATCCGTTCTGTATGGAGAAACTTGATCTGCTATACCCAAAATAGCTGATGTTGAAACACAGACTAGATCTCATCTAGGCAATCGATTAGACAAAATGAGGAAGCTTGAGTGTGTGTTGGAGCTGTGTTGGTCTCACCTCAGGCAGCAAGGGCAGTAACAGGACAGAGACTTGTGGGCTGAGCCAGGTTGGAAAATGCAGATCTAAGGAGGCAGGTTGTCAACAGATAACTCTGTGCCCTCAGCAGGGCTGAAAAGCATTTATCATGGCACCCGGTCCCTGAAAAAAGCACTGTAGGAACTCTGGCACTTGTACCTTCATTAGCACTGACACAGTCACATCCCACAGGAATCAGTTTGCCTGAGCCCTGCAGGATATTCCCATCCTTGACACGTCCTACTTCTGGTCTACTCTTATAGTACAGGCAGCTGTATATTGACATAGCTACATTATCCAGGCTCCTTGGGTGTGCTAAACCAGGAAAAGGAATAGTGCAGTGGCTACAACGAAAACCAGAGCTGGCTGCAGGTCAGCATTCAGCCAGGAAAGCTGCATCAATAAATCACTTCTGCGGAATGGGATCTTCTGTATCCACCTTTTGCAAAAAGAAGCTAACTTGCCCCAGGACAGGCTTTGGTACAGTGAGACACTCCAATGTTTGCCTCCATGCACAGGGTGGCTTGAATTCTACTGACTGAACATTTAAGGTGTAGTTCCATCCCAGGATGAAAATCTGATCAGAGCAGGCTTTCTGCATTTGCTGTGGCTCAGTCACAGCAATACACACACACACAGATGCACATATATATTGACATACATATGTACCTACACTTAATATTGTAAATTCCACTTTCAGGATCAAATGAAATTCTGGAGTTCTGAGTCTGATGGAAGTAACACAAAACCCCCTTAGAAATTAACAGCAAAAGAGAGTGCTGGACCATGGCAAGTCCTAGTGAGATTAGTCCTAGTCCCCTGTTTCAGGCTTATGTCAGGACAGAAAGAGGAGGGCTTAATTTCAACAAATATCCACAGTCATTGGTGTCTTTTTCACCTCTGCTCCAGGCAAAGAAGCCAGGCTGACGCACTGGGCATTTTTATGTATACCTTCCTATCTTTCAGATAAGCTGATTCATTCATCTACCTATTTCCTAGGAAGCTGCTGTCATGACAGCAAGCAGTGTAACACAGCTTCAGTCCCATTTGACACAGATTTCTACAAGAGAAAGTACAGGACCAAGTCTCAGGGCAAGGGTGCCAGGAGGTGTGCTGTCCAGGGAGTGTTAACCATGGCTCTCTTTTGGGCAGTGCAAGGAGTGTCATTGCTGGGATATAACACTGCTGCTTTACAGGCAAGTTACAAGGCATGCCCACTGGCTTGTCAGGAGGTCTTAAGATGATAGGAGTAACGTAGATTTTCCAATTATAAGTAAAAAACCAGTACCATCAAAATAATAAGAAATGTCAACTATCATAGAAAGAATTTTTTTAAGAAGCCTTTCATTTATCTTCATGTCTACTATACCTGCCCTTACCACACTGATGTTATAGCATGTGACTATAATAATTTTCAGCAAAATTAACATTCATTATAGCTCTGATCTTGCAAAGCTACTCTATGGACACAAGCTTTCTCTTAGCAATTATGCAGTTATCAGGTCCAGTTATTGGGTAAAGCCTGTTGGAAATATTTTTTTAAAAAGGAGGCAACTCTAAGTCTTGATGCAATAATAATTTGCTCCTTTTGTTTATCATCTGGCTTGATTCTGCTCACAAATGAGACAAGGCACAGATGCCTAAGAGATACTAAAAGCTCACTCTGAACTCCAATTACGCTAGCATTTTTTCTAACACATTGTTTTCCCATCATTATTGCCATGGAAATCAAGGAAAAATACAGAGGCAAAATAGTAAAGAAAATAAATTAACCTGGCCAAGTAATTGCATTCCCTGGTAGGTTTTAAATATCTTTCTTTAACAGGAAGTCCTCTCCATAGATTTCAGTAGAAAACAGCTATATGTGCACATACACAAGACTGCACATTGGAGGCTGGGAAAGAGGGCAGCTTTTTTTATTTGCGTGGGCTACACAGACGCTGCAAGTTGAAGCTTAAAACAGCAGGGCTTCTCCCCTTTCACCACCATATAGCCTGCTGACAATTAGCCTGTCTGCTCGGGCTGCTTTTCTTCCTTATTCCACCCCTGCTTAGCAATTAACAGAGGCAAAAGCAAGCCTCAGTGCTCCCTCCTTACGTGTTGGAACATCTGCTTGGGCTATCCAGGGGGACCAGGTCAATACCCAGGAGATCTTTCCTGGAAAACTAACAACTCTACCAGGCCTGAACTTGTAATACAGACAGACTAGAAGAGTC